AGATTCTGAGCGGAGCGATGAATGTATTGGTTTTACAATGATGTGTGTTTTTATATTTTTATATTTTTATATTTTTGTGTCTGTCATCACGTTTTGGGACAGTAAAAGTGCTTCGATTTTCTTCAATAGTACCTTTTCTGATAGGAAAGTGAATCTATTTGGTACTTTGGGGGGTCAAAAGTAAACATTTTCCAGTAGTTTTCATAAGCGCCGGGAAAAACAACATAAAAATTAAGGAAAAACGGGAATTTTTACGCAAAATTGATTTTCCAAAAAATCGAATTTGGTTTTTGGTGTAACTTTAAAACAAATGACCGTAGATACATGAAATTTTCACTGGATGTTTATATTTGCATTTTCTATACACGATAACATTTTCAAAATATTTTGATTTATTTTGAACTGTTTAGGGACATTTTCATTTTTCATTTTTTTTAGTTTTTTTTCTAGAAATATCAATAAAATTTTATTTGTTGGTTGCGAAAGCTTGAAAATTTAATAGAAGGCTCCTAATATGTTGTTTCAAAGGCAGATGAAAAATATTAAAAATTCTTAGTCACAATTTTTTTTTATAAGCATTTAAAGTTCAAAAATTGACAAAATATGGAAAAATCACGAAAATTAGCAAATTATTTTGAGTTAAGAATTCGTAAAAATTTTTCTTTTTAAATCTAAGATTTGAAAATGTAATATAAGATTACTCATAAGTTTGTCTACCTTTATCAATAAAAAAATCTCTACCGGAATGTCAAATTAAATTTATATGAGCGTTTGAAATTCAAATTTTTACAACATTGGATGTTCACTCGATTTCTCATGTAGCGATTTCCTTATTTTGTTGTAATTCAAAAACGAATAACTGTAGATACATGAAAATTTCACTGAATGTTTATATTAGCATTTCCTATACACCATATAATTTTGAAAATATTTTGACTCTTTTTGAGCTGTTTATGGACATTTACAGCTTTCAATTTTTTTTAGTTTTTTTTTCTATAAATATCAATAAAGTTTTATCTGTTGGGCCAAAAAGTGTAAAAATTTAAAACAAGGCTCCTGATATATTGTTACAATATCAGTTGAAAAATATTAAAAATACATTGGCACGATTTTTTTTTATAAGCATTTAAAGTTGGAATTTTGACAAAATTTATCAAAATCTCGAAAATTATCAATCGTTGGAATTAAAAAATTATAAAATGTTCAGTTTTTATAACTAAGAGTTGAAAATTTAAAACAAAGATTCTCTTAAATAATTCATACTGTAGCCAAAAAATCTAAACAATATATGAACACAGTTATTTTTTACAGACATTTTAAATTCAAATTTGGACGAAATTACATATTAAAATCAATATTAACGATCTTGGTTTTTTGTTGTAATTTAAAAATATTATTCGGGGATATATGAAACTGAAAAATCAACACATTATGGCCTATCCATACAATCTACCATAGTATAAGGAATAAGAAGTATGCTCAATGATAAGACTGTGCATATTTTAAGGGGCAATGAATAATTTATTCATAAATTCCATATAATTTAATACCATAAATAAGTATATAATATGTCTTATACCTAGACTGACATACCGCCTCCGCTCAGAATCGTTTTTCTTATACAATGATATTATATCATTGAATTCAAATTTAATACCATCCATCATACAGTGACCCACTTGTAACCTACAGTACAGCAGAGCGACATCCACTTACCCACCTTTTTACAATATATATATGTTTTCTCGAAATTAGATTTTGCGTAAAAATTCCCGTTTTTCCTTAATTTTTCTTTTGTTTTTCACGGCGCTTTTGAAAACTACTGGGAAATTTTCACTTTTGACCCCCCAAAGTACCAACTAGATTCACTTTCCTATCAGAAAAGATACTGTTGAAGAAAATCCAAGCACTTTTACTGTCCTAAAATGTGATGACAGACACAAAAATAAATTTAAAAAAAAAACACACATCATTGTAGAATCAATACATTCATCGTTCCAACATTACGTTGTATTAGGGGCCTAAGGTTAAAGTCCTACATTTTCTAACTTTCTATAACTTTTTATTATAAAATGAACAAATTTTATTATTTTAAGATGTTACTGACAAGTGACAACCATTTATTTTGGACGGTTTGAATTTTAGATAAGTAATACTATTTATCATTGTTATTGTTTGTTTTACATATTTATTTGTATACTCATTAATTAATAATTAATCAGTATAATTAATAATTATATTATATAGTAAGTGCTTATGCATCGTATACTATTTTCGTATAATCGTACTATACCTATATTTAATCTCAGAGGCTCGTGAACTCGCGCTAGTGCAGTATCTTGCTGGACAAACTAATAATGTAACCGTGGTTATATGTATTTAATATTAATACTGTTTAATATAAATGGATTATGATTTACGGACATGCCTTCGCCTTGATGCAGTGTTATTGGTTTCAGATATGTTATTTTGTACTTTTGTCAGTTTTATTTTTGAGTACCTACTCTATTATATTAATTTTTCATTTGATTATTAAAAATAAAAATTAGGTACCTACCTACACTATCTTTTATTGACTTTTTAAAAAAAACACGTCTAACAGACAATTTGAAAGTGTTGCATCTAAAAGACGGAGAAAAATGTTCAAAACAATGAATTAAAAAAATATAAAGGATTGATGAATAATTTTGTATACAATTCAGGTAACTGAGGTACCGATTCATATTTGGGTCCTTTCATTTTAGGACAATATAGAGAATATACAGCCAATATCATATTAATGATATTTATTCTTAATTTATATTATACTACTATACTAGCATAGAAGCATACATTAATGATTAATACATCATAATATCTAAGCGTGGTATAATAGATAGGAGAACAGTGAGTGAATGTATAATTTCATAATTTTATTTACCTATTAAATTATGGAATTTAAATTTTGTGTTTTTTAGTTTGTTTAATATATCAATACGACAAAACGTATCAAATAAATAGATAATTGTAAAGTCAAGAAATTTTTTTTTTAAGGGGCCTCCATTGGTAGTTGCACCCCGGCCCCCTGAGACTTAGATCCGGCACTGGCCATTCCTTGATGTTACCCATGAAACACCAACAGCATCTACTGCTATAGATGTTAACATTGAGTGTTCTGAGGAATGTGTAAGTAGTATTAATTAATAAAAACAAATTAACCTAAGTTATGTTATAAATATTAATTTAGACCATCTCCAGTGCCGGCCCTAGGGGGGGGGGGGGTGGCAAGCGGTGCGATATGGTGAGCATGGTGAGCTTGTGCGGGCTTGTTACGAATATCACTTTATCTATAAATAAACATAATAATATTGTCCCCGTAGCAGTAATACGGATATCGCGACCCTTGTTGTTTTCTTAGGAAACTGTTTGTTATCGACAAATACCAATTAGAATAAGTATGTGTACTATGTCTATATTTTAATATCTTACCTTGATTGAGGGGTGGAAATCCAAAACGTACTATTGCCAAAATTGGCAAAAACGAGTTAGATACCGATTCTTATAAAAAAAACGCCGACAAATCGATTGGTGTTGTCAGAATAGACCAAAACGTACTATTTCCAGGTCAAATCAGCTGTTAAAAATGACTGCTTAATCCAAAACGAACCTTTTCCGTGCATAAAAATTATATTTAGATAATCAAAACGTACTATTTCCAGTTTTACGACAAAATATACTATTGTCAATGTTAAAATAATAGGCACCAATCGGCAATCATTAACTATACCAAAACGAACTTTTTTCATAAATTATTCCAAAACGTACTTTTTTTTATGTTATGTCAAAACGTACTACTGCCCGTATTGTAGGTATAGCGAAATAAAATAGTTAATCCAAAACGTACTAAAATATAATTTATAATTTATAATATTCACAATCATTAAGTTTGAAATTAAATTAAAAATATAATCCTAGATTATTAAACACATTTGAGTCGTTTTTAATAGAAATAATATATTAAAATCTTCCTTGTATTCAAAATTACTTTTTTATTTATAAATGGTTTGTTCATATTGAAACAATAAATAAGAAATTAATAATATTTTTATTTTGGAAAAAGCACATTTTGGAGTATATTTTAATATTTTATTAGGTTTTCCAAAATGAACTATTTCCATTAAATTTTCCAAAATGTACTATTTCCATTAAATTAATGGAAAAGGTATACGTTTTGGATTATTTTACATTTTTATATGACAAAAAAATATGTAGATGTAGAATCATTAAAGTCATTCTATCTAAATTTTAAAAACAATACTGATAGGTAATATTATTTTCACAGGCAATTTAAAAAAGTCCCTAAAAAATAAAATAAATGTGTATATTGTATAATAATTAATAAATTAACATATACAGCCATTGGCCATATAGGGCCCCGCGAAATTCTGCACCGGGCTCCGAAAACCATCGAGCCGGCACTGACCATCTCCCACCAATGGTATTTTAAAATGAATCAATAGGTATGAAACTCTTAGCTGTAAAATAATCATAAATTATTTTATGAGATATGAGTAGTATATTTTTCCAATTTTATCTTCCTACTAGTTATGATAATTATAATTATCCTAAGATTTATTTATTAAATACTGATTTATTGTTTTTTTAGCCACCA